TCGATCTCTTGACCTCGTGATCCACCCGCCTCGGCCTCCCAAAGTGCTGGGATTACAGGCTTGAGCCACCGCGCCCGGCTAAACCTAATTCTTAATAAAACCTTATAGACATGCTTACCTAATTTTAATGTTGGATTATAAGGTAAGATTTTTATAGACTTTTTATAACTCTTTACAATTTTTGCTAAAGAGCAGATTAGTGCTCTAAGGGAAACCCATTGTGCTTTTATTTTAATGCTCAATTTACAGAAAAAACTGGATGATACCCCTTTAACTTTGGCCAATATGTTTACACACAGTATTTCCTTTACAATCAACCTTCCACAACTCGCTTAAGCATTCATCTTTGTCTTATCCAACTTAAAACAATCCTTAAATCTTTTTATCTAGGCAAAATCCACATTCTCATGCCTCCTAACAATGTTTTTACCAAAAGTATATTTTACTTTCCTTACATGCTTTGCATGTAAATTGTTTCTTCAATAGTGTTAAACACAATTACACTGTTAACTCTTAGCAAACTTTACTTTTGGTGAAAACTTTGGTAAATTGGGATTTTAATTATGTACTAGGTGTGGAGCTTAGGACCTAGAGAGAAGTGCAGATAAGGTCTGACTTATTCCAGCGTCTAACTCCATGTGTCCTAGGACTTACCTAGCTGTAAAGCAGGCAACCTGTACAGCTAAGAGTCATAAAGCATTTAGGAGGTCTAATCACCTTTAAGTTGCACAACATTTCTTGAATAAATTCCCTTTCATAAATTCATTCATGACTTACACAGACAATCCCTGACAGACCATGACTAGAATCTAATGCTCCAAAATAAATTGAACAATTTTTAAGTCAAAGAAGCAGTTTTTATGACCTAGATCATTTAGCAAACCCAATATTTGACCTGCATATTTTAGACCAAATATTTACATTTTTGAAGATATTTTTATTTTACCACTAATCTCTAAAACTCTCTTTATTTTTATTTTATTTTATTTTATTTTTATTTTATTTATTTTTTTGAGACGGAGTTTCACTCATGTTACCCAGGCTGGAGTGCAATGGCGCGATCTCGGCTCACCGCAACCTCCGCCTCCTGGGTTCAGGCAATTCTCCTGCCTCAGCCTCCTGAGTAGCTGGGATTACAGGCACGCACCACCATGCCCAGCTAATTTTTTGTATTTTTAGTAGAGACGGGGTTTCACCATGTTGACCAGGATGGCCTCGATCTCTTGACCTCGTGATCCACCCGCCTCGGCCTCCCAAAGTGCTGGGATTACAGGCTTGAGCCACCGCGCCCGGCCTCCTTTTTATTTCTTTAGCCTTCTTTATATCTTCCTTATTTCCTGGTTCCTTTTACCTTGTTTTATACATAACCTTTACATAAGCTTTGAATTTGACAAAAATTGGTCCTTTTTAAAAAGGACACTTTTCTTAGAAAGAATGTTTTCCTACAATATATTTTTATTGGAAAATACCCAAATAATGAAATATCTGTTGTTTAATTTAACTTTAGATTCTAAATTATGACAAGTTTGTTTATGAGTATGTATCCCATTACATTTATCTAATTATTTATTTTAATCATTTACCATCTTCCTTCTAACCTCCAAGCTATTCTTGTTCATTAACTTAATTTATAGTGGAGATTGAAAACAGAGATGGTAAGAGTTCTTTCGCAGAACAAACTTCTTTCATGTCTGTGGACGAGACTGCTTAAAGCCACAAGAGTGGAAGTTGGGTATTTTACTAAATAATTCAAGATGTAGCTATCTTCATTAAACCCATATTAATGTTTCATTTATTAAAAATTACACAAGCAAAGATTATTCTGTTTGGGGCTGAGATATAGTTTTGTAGCCTCTTTGCCAAATTTTGACACCTTAAAATATTTGACAGAGATAAATATGAAACTGCTCAATCAATAAATGCAAACACAAATGTATGCTGGCAACTCAAGGCATTTCTAATATTACTTTACCAATAATTTTTAAAGCTAGCTTAATGTATTAAAGATTTTAAGTCACGTAAACTTGAAAAAGCATTTGACTAGTCTTTCCTTTTTTCTGTTAAAGTGTTTAAGCACTTTTATTTTTCTTTGAGCCAATTAATTAGAACTCTTTTATATATTTTCAGTAGCGAAACATGGTGTACACAAGATATAAATACACAGATGTATTAGGCATGCCAATAGAAGAACATTTTATAGATTCATAAGACCTCCTTTTTCCTTTCTTTTAACTGGATCTTTGTGCTCTGGGCAGAGCTCACACTGAATCCTGGGTTTTCAAAAAGGAAGAATTATTGTGAAAGTAGACCATGCGAGGCTTTTACAGTGCATTTAAAAATTATTTTTTCCCTAGCCAGGCACGGTGGCTCATGCCTATAATCCCAGCACTTCGGAAGGCCAAGGCAGGTGGATCATGAGGTCAGGAGTTCAAGACCAGCCTGGCCAACGTGATGAAACCCTGTCTCCACTAAAAATACAAAAATTAGCAGGGTGTGGTGACATACACCTATAGTCCCAGCTACTCAGGAGGCTGAGGCAGCAGAATTGCTTGAACCCAGGAGGCAGAGGTTGCAGTGAGCGAAGACTCTGGAGTGCCATTGCACTCCAGCCTGGGTGACAGAGTGAGACTCTGTCTCAAAAAACAAAATTTTTTTTCTGAAACAAAGACATTTCTAAGTGTCTAAATTACACTTTTTCTTAAAAACCCCAGAGTAGCTTCTGTTGCAATAGTGATTAACCAAGAAAACAGAATTTAGTCAATTGAGAAGAAAAAAACTTTTACTCAAAAAGACAAGGTCCTAGGAGAGAAATAAAAAGAAAAACATGAAGCCCTTTTAAATACAAACATGCACACATACATATACACATCTTGGATGTTAGCTTTTAATTAAGCTGATTCTCAACCACTGAGCTTCTAAAAACTATTTTTCTTTCCCGGTGGCCTCTTAGCAGGAGTGGACCCAATACCTCTCATTTTCTTTTTCTTTTGTTTTCGAGATGAAGTCTTGCTCTGTTGACCAGGCTGGAGTGCAGTGGCACGATCTCGGCTCACTGCACCTTCTGCCTCTTGGGTTCAAGCGATACTCCTGCCTCAGCCTCCCGAGTAGCTGGGACTACAGGTGTGTGCCACCATGCCCTGCTAATTTTTGTGTTTTTAGTAGAGATGAGGTTTCACCATGTCGGCCAGGCTGGTCTCAAACTCCTGACCTCGTGATCCACATGCCTCAGGCTCCCAAAATGCTGGGATTACAGGAATGAGCCACCGCACCCACAGAATATCTCCCCTTTTCAAGTTTACATGCCATCAAAGGGAAAAAGACACACAAATAAGTGGAGACAAATTTGGAACAACACAAGGGGGAGAGCACTCAGGCAAAACAGACTCAAAACCAACTCAGAACCTGATCTCAATGAAAATGCAAAGCGTGGCATCATCCCTCCCGGTCTTTTCTGGCTGGCTTGCCAAATTTTGTTCCTGGATCAAACTGAGGGTTGGGGCTGCTATTTCTTGTGGCCCAATAATGAGATGCAGATGAACAGGGGAGAAAGAGTTTTTATTTCTATAACCGGTTACAGGGAGAAGGCCTGGAAATTATCACCAGACCAACTCAGAATTTTCCAGAGCTTATATACCTCCTAAGCTATATGTCTATATGTAAGTGTGCATTCATCTAAAAATGCAAGTGATTAACTTCTGTTAATCTATAACTAAGGTCTGAGTCTTGAAGACCTGCTTCTGGAGCCTCAGTAAGTTTACTTAATCTAAATGGGTCCAGGTGCTGGGATGAGTACCCTTATCTTGTCTCCTGCTAAATCATGGAGGTCTGGGGAGTTTCTTCAGACCCCCAGTAAAACTTGTTTGATGATATTTTGAGGTTCAGGAAAGGCCTAGGCAAAACTCTTGGTGGGCTTTTGTTAACATCCGAGCACTGACTTGTAATATGTAGCTTAACTGCTCAGTCAGTACTGAAACAGCTGTTACAGAGCCCTGTGTTAGTGAGACCTGCCCTGCCACACTCCTCTCCCTAAATCAAGCTTGAGAAGCAGCAAAAAAGAACAGGACCAAGGATCCACAGGTTCAGCAACAGCACCGCTTTTGGTAAAATTTTTGCTGTTAGTTAGACGAGTATTAAAAGGATAAAAATACCACTAGGTTTATGTAAGAAAAAAATTTTCAAAACTTAAAAATGATAAAATTTCAGTAGAAAGCTCAAATACATGTTTTCTTGTAAAAGGAGTCCTTCTTGACCACCCACCTCAATCCCACACTGCTCTCAGAAGATTTTTTTTAAACAGTTTCTGGTCGGGCGCAGTGGCTCATGCCTGTAATCCCAGCACTTTGGGAGGCCAAGGTAGGTAGATCACTTGAGGTGAGAATTTGAGACCAGCCTGGCCAATATGGTGAAGCCCTGTCTCTACTAAAAAATAAAAATACAAAACTAGCCAGGTGTGGTGGTGCTTACCTGTGGTCCCAGCTATACAGGACGGT